TACATAAAATGATCATGTGATGGGTGAAGAACGTGGAGGCCCAGAAACAAGAACATAACTGGGAGTATGCTTGGTTAGGACCACTGGTAGTAGCAAAAAGTACAGCATCAGCATTCAGGTGGGTCACTGGCTAACCAGTGCTCTCTTTCTGTGGTTACATCACCTAACAGGGGATGATCAACCTGCTCTCATTGTGATCTTTYGCAGAGAAATGTTAAACTTACTAATTTCTTACAGTATTAGAGAGCCTGGGATCTCTCTGATTTATAATATACTTCCTCATTCTTTTTAGGTCTAGTAATGCTCAAAAAGAGTCACTTGATTTAAGGCAACATGATATGTGAAAATGTGATTTCATAACAATATGATTACTCACAATGCAAAAGTTATCTTCATTGACCAATGTGTTTTTTTAAAATAATGAGCTCTCCTACTGCCTTAGAATTAAATAATTAGATGTTAAAAAATGTGACATATATAGCCACTGTTTCCTACTGATAAAGCTGTAATATACATACCTGGCTCAAAGAAAAATGAAAGYAAATCTTTACATTTGTTTTTTTCTTGTTTTAAATATGAAATTTAGTTTAGCACTTAGAAATCCATTTATATATTCCTCTATAATGATTATCTTTGAAAGAAATTCAAAGTACAATATTTTAAAAAAATCCTGAGTTAATAATAAAAAGGCCAAAGGTTTGGTAAAAGTTTAAGACARCTCAAAACTATAAAGTCAGTATTACATAAAAAGGTTAAGTGGTACTTTGTCAAAACCATTCATTTGATCAAGAGAATTTGGAAAGATTAGAAACCTTGAGAAGAAAAAACAATATCAAAATATACATGATTAAGAATCTATAAGATATTGATAAGGCGAGAAACTGAAAAGTGCCAAAACTAAAGAAAAACTTTAGTTACATGACTTTTTTCTCTTCAAAACTTAAATGGCATTAAACTTAGTATGTTATTATGATATGCTGTTATCAAAAGTTCTAGGATTTAAATTTCCATGACAGAACTGATATGTCTGTGGTAATAAAGGTTTATATAAGACATAAAATATATTGTTCAATTTATAGATGCTCTGAATAGTAGCAAGGATATGAAATGCTTAGGCAGCCATTACAGTGTACAAACACAAACACACATGTATTTACAACACAGATTAWGGCAAGATAAAAAAAATGGGCAAATCTCACTTCCAAGTAACTATAGCTTAAGTATTTTAAATTTTATGATGAATTTCTGTAGCTTTAATTACTCAACATGCAGGAACATTCTTAAATATGAACAATATGACAAGCAGAAGCATTAAAATTGTGCTAGAAAAGATAGTTCAAGTGTAAAATATATAACAAGGTACAGATCTCTGTCCTGTTATATTGAATTTTCATCTGAATTTTCTTCTCAAAGAAGAAATGGATATGATTTTTAGGCTTTAACATAATACTAATAAAGGTCAAATTAGTCAGAGACAGAGCTGTGCTAACAAAAAACACCCCACTCTTTATTCATGCCTCTGCCTATCTTTTGGATATGGTTTAATTGACCTTTAGCATGCAGAAGAGTTAATGAGGTTCTATTCCTCCTACTCTACCTAAGTTTGCTCAGCTGATTCCTTGCCCTCGATAAAGGCTGCAGTGCGATGAACTCATCACTTAAAGCCACTGTGTTGGAGTACATCTATAAGTGGACAGAAAAAGGATGGAACAYACAACAAGTCAGTGAGCTCTATTCATCACCTATGAGACAGACACAGGACAAGGTTTGTAAATATTGAACATCTGTTCCCACAAGAGTAGGAAATGTACATGGTACACATACATGACTGACATTTGAACTGTGTTGACTTTGCCATCAAAAAAAATATTTTTTCACTTGTAACACCACATGGTTATACTGCAGAAGAATAAAGCTCACAATAAATGCTGATAGTTCTTCTTTTAATATGATTTTTCTTGTTACTTTTAGTAAAACAATGAAGTAGTTGACAATTTTCTAACCATTTCTTCATTATTTGAAACCAGAAGTGATGGTAGAGCTGAAAAAATGATTACTGCCTGTAGCCAAGAAATAATGTCACATATAGGATTTGAATGACCATATTCTGTTTCAGTAAAAAATAAAACCAACCAACCAACCACCAACCAACCACCAAATGCCACCAGTGTGCTAGAAAGATCCTTGAGTGGAAGTGGAGGTTTTTTTTCTTGAAAGAGACTGCCTAGAACATCTGGGTAAGTCATTTGGAAATGAATTTAGTGAGTCAAAAAGGGAGAATATACTGGCTTTCACATATAGATTCAGTTATTGATTTGATGCTCATTCCACTTTAACTTATGTTAAGAACCAAAATACACATAAGTACTTTTAACCTTTTTCTTGTGAAGGGCCTACCTTAAGGTACCAAATATTTCCTATGTAATCCTTTGGAAGAGGCTATAGAAAAGGTAATAAATTCTAATATTATCACCTTCATATCAATTAAGAAATCTCTATGAAAAACACAACTAAAGTTTATAAATGCTCTGTCTACCACAGCATTTCAAAGGATAAATGTAGATAAATCTGATCAATTTACTTTTATAAATAATTACATTTTTAAGTGATATTATTCATTCATTTTCATTAAATACAACTTCATATAGGTCAAGSGGGAAGAAAATTGTTCTTCATAAAAATCTAGGAAAGTATCATAGACAATGTATTAAAAATAATACATTAATATGTATTAATAATAACTATAGATGAAAAGTTTAGAAATAGTAAATTTACAAATCTGAAGTTTAAGCCAGGTACAGTGTTGCATGCCTGCAATCCCAGCAGCCCTGGAGGCTAAGGGAGTTTTGTGAGTTCAAAGCCAGCCTTAGCAATTTAGTGAGGCCCTAAGCAACTTAGTGAGACCCTGTCTCTAAATAAAATATAAAAAAGATCTGGGGGAAGCTGGGGCTGGGACTTAGCAGTATAGCGCTCACCTAGCATGTGCGAGGCGCTGGGTTCGATCCTCAGCACTACATAAAAAAAATGAATAAATAAAATAAAGATATTGTGTCCAACTACAACTAAAAAATATTAAAAAAAAAAGGGAGTTGGGGACATGACTCAGTGGTTAAATGCCCTGGGTTCAATCCCCAATACCAAAAAAAAAAAAAAAAGCAAAACAAACAACCAACCAACCAACCAAAAACAAACAAACAAAAACACCCCAAAATCAAAAACCAAAAACCCAAGTTTAGAAATAGTAAGACAGACAAACACACAAACCTGTCTGTAATGGATTTAAGTAATACATTGCAGAGTGGAAAAGTCTGTCCATATTGATATAAATATATGCATAGGCAGACAGTAATAAATTATGCTGATTTTTCAGTCCCATTTACAGATTAATATTATAGATATATTCTCACTTCCTCATACTTAAAATGACAACTTTTTAAAAAATTTTGGACCAACTATATAACAGGCACAGTGATGACAGATGCGTATATTCATTCTTTCTTACAAAAATCACATGAGGTAATAATAATTGTTTTATAATTTTTTTTAGTTGTAGTTGGACACAATACCTTTATTTTATTTATTTTTATGTGGTGCTGAGGATGGAACCCAGTGCCTCACATGTGCTGGCCAAGCACTCTACTGCTGAGCCACAACCCCAGCCCCTCATAAGGTTATAATTATTATTGTGATTTTTATAGAGAAGGAAATTGAGGCCTAAGAAAATGACTTAATCAAGGACATACAGCTATCTTATAAATGGCTGAAACAGCATTTGAATTCTAATCCAAATAAGATAGTATTTGTATTAAACTACCAAAGTAAAAACAAAACAAAACAAAAAATTACTGAAGTAAATAAATTAAAACCAATGTACTATTTAGAAATCATAATTTAAATCACTAAATACTTAGCACTTTATCTGTTTGTAAGATGAATACACATTTTCAAAATCTTAATAAAATTTGCTTGGCATGAAACAAAAATAATGTTGAAAAAATATCAACCTGGCTTGCACTAAATGATTAAGGAACTCRAGCTCTTTTTTTTTTCCCCCCAKTGCAGGGGACTGAACCCACAGGGTCCCTCTACCACTGAGATCTCTACCCCTAGTCCTTTTTATTTTTTTTTAAATTTTCAAACAGGGTCTTGCCAAGTTGTAGAAGATGGCCTCAAACATGTCATCTTCCTGCCTCAGTCTTCCAAGTAGCTGGGTAGGATTACAGATGCATACACTGTACCTGGCTTAAATTCAGCTTTTAACAAGGCAGAAAAGGAGATGAAAATATATTCTATACTAATTAAACATACAAAAAAGGCACATTCAACTAAATATGTATCATTTATTGGGCATATACTATTTTTAAACATTTTTTCACTTAATCTTAACTACAGTAGGAATGAAAAAGATATATCTATCATTTTACCATTGAGGAAACTAGAATTCAAAGTCATAATACTACTAAGTGGCAGARCTGGGATTCAAATTGAGATCTATCAGGATCTAAACATCATATTCTTAAGCACTATGTAACATGCTGTTAATATTTGCTGTAATTTAATGTTTATTAATAAATGTTTAGTGAAAGAATATATTTTATAAAAATTCATTCTGTAAAAATTATTTAGGTTAAAGAATTTATTTCATATTCTGTTGTTAAAAACCATATAACATAAAAAATATTACTTGAATTCTAACGTTTCTAAGACAAGGCCATATATCTCAGATGTATCTGGAATAACTTGATAATATTATTTAATACATTTCCTAATATTATGTGAATAAAACTTGAAAGTTTGATATTTAAATACCTGGAATTTTATTAATAACATGATATAATTTTAAACAACTTAAAAATATCACATTTAATAATGTTTATATTATAAAAATACTTGATATAGGAATGAGTTATTTTCTATTTTATGACATAAGCAAATTATAATCATAGTTGTTTATAACTAAAGCTCCTAACTAAAAAGATATTGAAATAAAAAGTGCTTACCTGTGCCTTTTCAGTACTTGTAGGATGAAGCTGTCGGTCAAACACTTTCTTCACAACATCAAGAAAGAGACATGTTACAACCATAAGGATTATGGCAAACCAAGCAGAACCACTTGATAGGAGCTGAATAAATACAAAGTACATATTCTGGGAACCTAAAAATGGCCTGAGAAGAAAGACAGTGGGCTTAATAAAAAAACAAAAACAAACAAACAAAAAAACCTGAAAGATAACTTAATCAAGATATCATAGAAACACATCATATTTGAAAATAAATAACTACTGAGTCACATCCACAGCCCTATTTTGTATTTTATTTTGAGACAAGGTCTCACTGAACTGCTAAGTCCCTGCTAAATTGCTGAGGGTGGCTTTGAACTCATGAACTGCCTGCCTCAGCCTCCTGAGCCACTGGGATTACAGGCATGCACCATGGCACATGGCTGAAAATAAACAATTTTAAGAGTACTCTGAGAAGAGGATTACAGACAAACAAAATGCATAGAGTATCCTTCTATGATCCTAAATAAAAGTTGATGATTAGCTAAATCCAAATTTTTTTGCCTAACTTCTAAAGTTTTTGCTTAGTAAATGGATCAAAGGCACAAAAGGCAAACACAATATAAACTGAAAGAAGTGAACTCATTGCTAGGATGGGGTTCAAAACTATTCTGAGCAGAATTTATTCATGATATAACCCATAACTATAAATATTTATTATAGCTGAATAGATATAATTAAAGTCACTCACCAGAGAATCCCACCATAAAACAAAGAAAATACAAAATAAAATATAATAGATCCCCAGGTAACAAGATGGTTGATCCAAGTCCAAAAATGAGTTTCCAAAGCCATCTAAAAAAAATTTGAAAAGTCTTAGAAATGTAAAATAATAAAACATTATCCTCTTAGATAAAACTCAAGGATAAAGCACATTACGTATTTCAAAGTCTCACTGCACAGTCTCACAGAATATAAGTATTAATGAAAGGCTGCTAGTAGAAAGTTACATAATTTCAAGTTTATTATTTTGCCTGTGAGAAAGCAGCACTGAAATTTCATGTGATGATTCTATCTYAACTCCATAGCCTAAAACAACTGTGTGTTTTGTATATATACAGAGCTGTACAATTTCAGTGACTTTTATTTGACCATAAAAATAGGCTGAAGTTTTCCAAAAACTTCAGATAAAAATTTTAAATGAATACTAAAATGGCAATCAGTGAAATTATCCACTGTTAAATAAGGAAAACATCTACTGATAGTGCGGGGGGGGGGGGGGGGGGA